TCTGTTCCTCTTTGCTGACTTCCACCTGATACCCCAGTTCCCTCCTGCAATCCAATCCCCTTAGTTCAGTCGATGGGCCCTACATATATGTTCATTGGCTTCTCCATTTTCTATCCTATTCTTAACCTCCCTCTGTCTTTTTCTCCCATTTATTCCCCTCTTTCTTCCCTCCTTTATTTTCTTCTTTATTCCAACTCACAACCCTCCTGCCACCCACATTCCCCCCTTTAGTTCATGTCCATGCATCATACATATAAGTTCTTTGGCTTCTCTGTTTCCTATACTATTCTGAACCCCTCCTGTCTATTTTGTACCTACTATTTATGCTTCTTAATCCCTGTGTCTTTTCCTCCGTTCTCCCTTCAGCTCCTCCTCGCTGATAACCCTCCATATGATCTCCATTTCTGTGATTCTGTTCCTGTTCTAGTTGTTTGCTTAGTTTGTTTTTGTTTTTGTTTTAGGTTTGGTAGTTGATAGTTGTGAGTTTGTTGTTATTTTACTATTCACAGTTTCTTATCTTATCCTTTTCCTTAGATAAATCTCTTTAACATTTCATATAATAAGGGCTTGGTGATAATGAACTCTTTTAACTTGACCTTATCTGGGAAGCAGTCTGCCCTTCAATTCTAAATGATAGAATATCATCTCTCCTGGTCTTTCTCCTTGTTTTTCATTTTGGGTAATGTAATTATAATGTGCTTTGGTGTGTTTCTCCTTGGGTCCAACTTCTTTTGGGTCCAAGAGAGGGAGAGAAATGTCAATGTGTGGTTGCCTCTCATGTGCTCCATACTGGAGACCTGGCCTGCAACCCAGGCATGTGCCCTGACTGGGAACAGCACTGGTGACCCTTTGGTTTGCAGCCCACACTCAGTCTACTGAGCTACACCAGTCAGGGCTACTAACAATTTTTTTGTATACAGAAATTTTAACTCTTACGTGTCAGTGCTATTGTTTTCCAACCTTATGTAATGCTTAGAAAGTCTTTTTTCATCCTGAGACCATATAAAGTGACTTAGAATTTTTACTATTACAATGTAAAATTCTTCCCAGTTTTATTGATATAATTGACATATTAACACTGTACTGGTCAAAAGTGTACAACATAATGATTTGATAAATGTACATACTGTGAAGTGATTACCACAAGTCAGTTAACATCCATTATGCCAGAGAGTTACAGTACTTTTTTTGTAATGAGAACTTTTAGCAATTTTCTTTCTTGTTTTTTAAGCTATTTGCACATAAAGACAATCCTCACCATTAATAAGTTCTGCAACTTTAAGCAAAGTGACATATAATGAAATCAATTTTACCATAGGCTAATTAACATAAGTAAGAGTTAAGTTTCTATGGCAACTCATCCACATTGTAATGGAATGGTGAATAAAAGGACATTATATGAGAACCTGCTGTATGCTGTACAGTAGGATCAACTACAGTCACCATGCTGTATATTACATCCCCAGGACTTGCTTATCTTTTTTTATTTATTTCTAGATAAGAGTGGAAGGGAGAGAAAGAGAGAGGGAGAGAAACATCAGCGTGTGGTAGGACTTGCTTATCTTATAGCTGGAAGTCTGTACCTCTTGATCACCTTCTCCCATTTTGCCCATTCTCACACCCCCGTCTGGCCATCATCACTGTTTTCTGTATCTGTGAGTTCAGTTTGTCTCTTCAGACCCCACGTGTAAGTGAGACAATGCAGTGTTTGTCTTTCTCCATCTGACATGCCTCACTTAGCAAAATGCCCTCAAGATCCATCCATGTTGTTGCAAAAGGCAGAATTTCCCTCTTTTTATGGCTTAATAATATTCCATATATATATATTGTGTGTGTATATATCTCATGTTCTTTATCAATTCATTCATCAATAAACACAATTTATTTCCCATGTCTAGGCTCTTATAAATAGAGCACTAAAGTCAGAAAAGGTAAAGAAGTTATAATCAGGTCATGACAGATTTCACTGAAATATTTCAAAATGAGAGGAGCATAACAACGTGTTGTTTAGTACTAATATTTTAGATTTTGGAACAATCCACTTGTTACTGGGACTACACTGACATTTACACAAATATCCAAACTAAATATAAACTTATAGCACTTGCTTGCCTGATGTCATGTTTTAAAAAAATTCCTGCTATAAGCATACCTTAGCAAAAAATGCAATAAGGTGAGTTTCTTTTAAAAAAAGATTTTATTTATTCATTTTTGGAGAAAGAGGAAGAGAAAGAGAGAAATATCAATGTGTTATTAATATTTAATAATATTAATAACAGCGTTTGCAGCCCACACTCAATCCACTGAGTGTGAGCTGCAAACACCAGCCAGGGTGATAAAGTGAGTTTCAATGCCAATGATCCAAAAAGGAAATTTTGGAGATTTCAAGTGTTATTTATAATAGCTAAAAGGTGAAAACTCCTGCTAACTGGTACATATATGAATTCTACTGAATTATACACTTTGAGATAGTAACTTTTATGGGTTTTAGTTCCATATCCATTTTTTAAAAGGGCAGAGTCAAAAGCCCTGAACCACCTTCTTTGTTCACGTGTTTTGCATGTATATCCACGGTGGGGGAAAAGAGAAAGAGAAATATCATTTTGTTTGCATTAATTAACACATATGGTCAAAATAATAGGGGAATATAAATTTCATTTCTAAAGCATAATTTGTTAAACTACCAAATAAGAGAATGCTTAGATCCACAAAACTAATGCAAACACAAGTATTTCCATAATGCCATTACTCTAAATATTTGGTACGAAGTAAATGTATATGAATTTTGATAATGATATCTACAGTATATACACATGAAGAGCACAGTGAAATAAACTTTTTCTTTTAAATACTACTGAGACTCAGTTTTGAGCCCCGGGCTTGAGGCCAGCCAGCTACGTTAAAGACTGCTGAGGAAGTCTGCACTCCGACCCCCTTCCTTACAGGTCTCTCCCACTCCAGGCCACTAGGCACTGCCCTCATGGCCCTGGAGCTGGTACCACATGACTAGGGACAAAGCTCAGAATAGTTTAGGTGTAAGTAAAGTCACTAAAAGAAGAGCTGCTGCAGTTTAACATTATGATCACTACCAATGAACAAGGGCAGGATGAAACCTGTTTGATTTTCCTAACACACCATCCAAGTGCTGTCATGAAAGAGGAATGCTGTTTTAAAAAAAGGAAGGAAGGGAGGAAGAAAGAAAGGAAGGAAGGAAGGAAGGAAGGAAGGAAGGAAGGAAGGAAGGAAGGAAGGAAGGAAGGAAGGATATTGTTACTAAAACTAATCACCACACCAGAACCACTGCCATGGAATCACCACTCTATCAATAAAATGAAAAAGAGAAGTAGGTCTTTCTTCCTCCAAAATGAGGACATCTTAAGTGCAAATCATTCATAACTTAAAAACCCATTTAAAATTAATTAGAAACTATTCTGAATATCCATTAGTTATTACAGATTATCTAGGAAAGCAATGAAATATATACCAATAAATGAGTTTCATGGCAGTTCCTACAGTTAGCAACTGCATGAGAGAATTTAACGCTGTTGAATGCTTTGAATTCTTCTCTTTTAGCGTTAAATTATTTTTCAGATTCTAATATGCCATTATATTTTAAGATTTCCTGTTTACTTTTTTCTTAGCCTACCATTTAAGATTGATCATTATCAGCCCCTATCAACTTGTATTTACTTCAGTCAGTGAGACTGCATATAGGCAGAATTTTACAGTCCTGAGATGGGGTTTTTACTGTCTCCTCCATTCTCAGCTATCACTTCTCACTGCCGTCGTAGGGTGTCTACATAAGTTCCTCCAGGGCCTTTCAAATTTCACGTGTTAACTTAATTTAACAATATACCTTGAATGCCAAGTATTGAAAAGAACAATGCTAAAGCGTGGTCTGGGGATATGGAGCAGCAATTTTCAGCTGGTGCATCACAGCACACTGGTGTGCCACAAGAATTTTTAAAACATGCAGTACCTAACTATTTAGGCCCCTGACCTCTTTTATCTTAGACTGTCAAATAAAAAAGGAAATTCAACAAGAGCCAATGCAACAATAGTGTTTGGTGTGAATGAATCAAAATTATACCTGTTTTTTTTGTCAGATGGGCAAAAAGTATAATAGATTTTTCAGTTTGTGCAGAATTTTAGTAATTACTTTATGTGTGCTATGAGATACAGAAGGTTGAAAATCACCGACATGGAGACAAGAAGACAAGGGCAGTGGGAAAAGCAGAGTTGGAAGGAAGGATCCGGTTCAGGGTCCTGTGAAGAGCTCCCGAGAGGCGAGACCTTGAACTAGGGAAAGATTTGAATAGACGGGGACAGTTGGAGGAGACTGCAGGTGGGAGGGGCGGTGAGAGCCACAGCAGCAGATAAGAGGGTCATTATAATCAGACTTTAGCTGAGGGCTGTACCTTGTAGTTCAGAAGAAGCTTTCACATCTGACATCTCAAAATTTTTACAGTATTCCTGTGAGGTAGTTTAGCATGGGGATGCTATATTTACTTTCAAAACAACTTAAATGGATGTAGTTGCCTAACTTTACAGGGAATTTAATAGGCTAGCTATGAACACTACCCTTTTTTCTTTATATTAATGAGCTGGTAGTATTGTTCATGTCTCTCACTCTATGTAGTACCTTAATTTTGTGAAGTAGGTAACTTCAGAAAGTCTGATGTGAACTTCTGGTATAAAAAGTAAGGAGACGGCATTTAAAAAAAATAATTGAGGTGTTCTGGGAAGAAGTTTTTGGTACAAGTACTAGTAAGTACAAGCCGGTACAAAATGTCGTTACAAATGAAGCACGTCGACCTGCTTCAGAAAACTGGCCTTTCAGTCCACTTGCAGTAGTGAGAGGCACAGGCGCACTGCCGGGGGGTGCCACCAGGGGCCGCTAATCCACAGCGCCTTTGCCCACAACAGGTACACTGGGCGCTCTGTTTCTCCTGCCGCTCATTTGAGCTTCCGCCGGAAGCGCCTCTATCATTGTGGTCCGCCAGCGTTTGTGCTCGCAGCTTAGGTGGTTTAGCTGCGCCCGCTGGATGAGGGTTCGTCTGAGAGGGAAATTAGCTTAAAGCCGGGCGACATGGACGTTCTGAAGTCGGAGATCCTCCGGAAGCGGCAGCTGGTGGAGGACCGGAACCTCTTGGTGGTGAGGAGTCTGTGGTCGAGGGCGCAGTGTTGCCCAGTGTTCGGAGAGAGGGGAGGTTGGGCCGAGTGAACGGTACTGACAGGACTCCGGCGGGGGTGGGGCTTAACCAGAGGGGTCCTCGCCTATCCTGGAGCGGCCCCTACAGGTCCACCGGTGAGCCTTTTTACTCGGGAGCTTTAGGGAGCGTGTGGGGGATGTCCAGAAAAAGCCAAGATTTTGGCAAGATTTCGCTTAGCTGCCCTTTAAATTCTCTCGCAGTTTCTGTACCTGCTCCTTATACTCACCCTCATTTGTAGGTAGTCTTCGGAATTCTGCTCCAATTCTTGCGGTCGTTACGTTTGTGGGTTTACTAAGGGTTTGTACCCAGCTGAAGCAAAGAGGAAAGGCCGATTTAGGATTAGTATTTAATTTTGATTTCTTCCTCCTGGTAAAAAAATTTTTTTAAATTACATCCCTTCTCTCCTCCTTAACACACATAGAAAAGTCTGTTGGTCAGCTCTTCACTGATAGGAAGGCTAAAATTGTGTTGGAAAAATGGAGAAAAGGAGAAATAATTGCGTGCTTTAGGAACTTCTTTAGGTTGATCTCCATTATTGTAGTGCATAACAATAACTTAGATGACCGGTTCTCAAAGCTTTTGCTGTGAGGACCCCACTAACGCTTCCAAGTTCCAGAATATCCCAAAGGGCTTTATCAGCATTTACTGTGTTAGAAGTTAAGCTGAGAATCTTAAAAAAATATTTATATATTGTACTAATTCATTGATTACACTGAATTATGCCCATCTTCCAAATGTGGATATATTTCAGTCCACCAAGTTTTAAACTTTTCATTTAATGTCACGAGTAACTTTATGGGAAGTATCTGTAAGTATCAAGACATTGTCAGGCTCGTGGGGAGCCAGATCTGAGATCGCCACAATTTAATTTTCGCTTGAAAGCTGGCATTTTTATCATAGACAGCAAGTACTATCAATTGTTTTCTGGAAGTGACAAGTTCACCTTGTTCACTTTTGGGAAGTCTAAGTCTTAATAACTATAGTGTGTAGGTATTCTTTGATGTAAATATAATATTCCATGAAAAAAAAAGCCGCCAGTTTAGCTTGTAACTTAATCGCACAAGTGCTTTCCTTCCAGACAGTCATCATATTTTGGTATAAAGGAGAAGTGCTGTGTGGATGCTTTCCAAGGCTCAGGAGACTTACCCTTGCTTTTCATCCTTAGTACTAAAGTCCAAGAGCATACAGGCAAATAGTACCTTAGTGTTGAAAAGATGTTTGATCTTACAGACCCTCGAAAAGGATCTCAAGGATCCTGGGTGTCTTGGGACCACACTTTGAGAACATTTGCTCAGGTCTTTGGTTGTGATGTGAGATTAATGTCTATGATGTAGTGTGAGTGAGTTGGTATTAATTGGTGGATGGTTGATTTAATAATCAATGAAATGTTAAAAATAATTAGCAAACTGGAGCTCATTACATAGAATATTATTTAGCAGATAAAGGGGGAAAGCATGTCCATATCTCAGCTTAATACTTTATCTCTGCTTCAGGGACCCTTTTTCTTCAGATGAGTGATTTGAGAGTATTTGAAAAGGTAATGTAGGTATTAGAATGCGTAGTTGGTGTTAGGAGGGCCAGGGTATAGAAATCTAAATGCCTTAGAGGGAAAATTGAATCGTGGAAAGCTGAGCTCTCTCCACGTCCATAATGTGTGACTTTGCATAATCATGTAGGTGAGTGCTCTTGAATAATAGAGGCATACCTCATTGTAATGTGCTTCGCTTTATTGCTCTTCACAGATATCACATTTTTCAATTAGCAATAATCTCGCCTCAGATAAACCTCACGGGCTATGATACTGCCACTGCGCAAAGCTAGATATCACATTTTTTACAAATTTAAGGCAAGACCCTCCACCAGCAAAAAAGTTATAACTTGCTTTATTGAGACAATCACTTTTTTTGTGATGGTCTGGAGCAAACAGGCAATATTTCCACCTGTGTAGGAGAATATGAGTCACTGGACATCTTTTGTTTTTGTATGTGTGGGGATGCACTGTTTTGATTTACAGTGGTATACAAGCAGTTGCTTTATAGACCTTTATCTTTCTGCATCATAGTGTCAGTAACTCAATAACTTTAATACTTTTTCACTGCTGTAGCCACAGGAAGAAATAAATTTTAATATTGTGTCCTAACATTTATATGAAAATAGTTTCATGAAACAGTTCTTCCTTACCTATGTTATTCTTCTATTTATTTTATTATTTTAACCAATTTTGTTTAAATGCTGGTTGCAGATCCCTGAATTGTTTTTCATTGCCGTATCTTTAGCTGGGAAACCCCCCATTTCTGTATATTGTTCTTCCAGAAGAGTATCTCATCCTGGCAATTTCAAGCAGTTTCCCAGCTTTTAATCCTTAGTGTGATAGTTGGAATAGTAAGTTACCTTGTGAGCGCCCCTTTGTGAAACTGGAGAAGCTGCTAAGAGAAGCCTCCTAACACCTGTACTGAAATGTTCTGCCTGGCGTAACTATGAGGTACTGAAATGCCAATGCAAATGTTGTCGCACATGGCGATATTTCATTTCTTTTTATGGCTAAGGAGTATTGCATTGTATATGTGTCCCACATCTTTAACCAGTCAGCTAGTGAAGGACACTAGTTGTTTCCATGTCTTGGCTATTGTGAATAATTGTTGCAGTGAACATAGGGGTGCATATATTTGTGTGAATAAATGTTTTCAAAATTTTCAGGTAGGTACCTAGGAGAGGGGCTGCTGGATCATATGTTAACTCTATTCTTAATTTTTTGAGGAGCCTCTGTGCTGTTTTCCCTAGTGGCTGTACCCGTTTACATTCTCAGCAGCAGTGAATGAGGGTTCCTTTTTCTCCATACCCTCTCCAACATTTACTATTTGTCTTGTTAGTACCACCTGTTCTAATGGGTGAGGTGGGACCTCATTGTAGTTTTGAATTGCATTTCCCTGATAGCTAGTGAAATTGAGCATCCTGTCATATATCTGTTACGTATTCTTGGGAGAAGTGTCTGTCTGCTCATGCCCTCTGACCATTTTTTAAATGAGTATTAGTTTGTTTGGTGTTCAGCTGTATGAGTTCTTTATATATTTTAGATATTAACCCCCTGTCGGAGCTGTTGTTTTTAAATGTCTTCTCCCATTCAATGGTTCCTTTTTTGTTTTGTTGGCAGTTTCTTTTGCTGTGCAGCTTTTTAGTGTGAAATAGTCCCATCATTTATTTTTGGCTTTATTTCCCTTGCCTTTAGAGTCATAAAATTTTCTCTTCTATATAATTTATTGTTTCAGGGTTTATAGATAGGTCTTTGATCCAGGTGATAGGCTTTTTTAGAAGCTTTGCCAGGAGGCATTCACTAGCCTAAGCAGTTGCTGTTTTAAGTATCACAAGTAGAACCTGAGACACCACTTAAAAGGACCAAAGATGTAGCAGCTCTTCTGGAACAGCAACCCTAAGGCACAAGTGTTTTACAGCTGCAGTTAGGAAAATGAAAACAATTTACTTATCTTATGCATTTCAAATTGTGTCGCAGGTGTTGGTATACTTTACCTCTAAACAATTTGGTGTGTATGTCATTAACTAGTGTTTGGTGTTTACACTTTTTTTGTATGTATGCAAAAAATTTATAATGAAGAAGTACAGAAATCATAAATGTGCCATTAATTAATTTTGACAGATGCAGCTGTCTGTGCAAACTCAGTCTGCATTGAGTATATTGCAGTATATTACCCTCTACCACCTTCAATCAGTCACCTTCAGAAGCAACCATTGTTATGTGTTCTTTCTACTGCATTTAGTTTTGTCTGCTGTAGAACCTCATATAAATGGGATCATACTATGTACTTTTATGTGCCACTTTGTTTAATTAGAATAATGTTTTGAGTTTTCTTCATGTTGTATGCATCAGTTTTTTATTCTTTTTATTGTCAAGTAGTATCTGTTGTGTTTAAATATCCAATTTGTTAATCCATTCTACCAATCTGATGTGCTGTTAGGATCAACTTGCTGTGAGCCTTTTTGTACAAGTCTTAGATTTTTTACCTCTCTTGGGAAAATGCCAGGGAGTAGAATTGAGAGGTCATAGAATACTTATATGTCTAGTTTTATAAAAAGCAAGTGGATCCTTTCCCAAAGTGGTTGGACTACGTTACACATTCACCACTAAAGCAAGAGAGTTCAGATGCCTTACATTGTTTTAAAGATTTGTCAGTCTTTTTAATTCCAACCATGCTGGTAGATATGTTGATACCTCATTGTGATTTTAATTCACATCTTCCTCATAGTTAATAACATTGAGTACTTTTCATGTGTTATTTTTTAAACCATCTTTTGTTAGGTGTCTGTTAAAATTGCTTGCATATTTTTCAGTTTGGTTGGGTTTTTTTCTTCTTGATTTGGAGGAATTCTTTCTATACCAGGTATATGTTTTATGAATCTTTTCTCCCAGACTGTAGGTTTTCTGTGTATTTTCTTAGAGGAAATGCTTTTCAATTTTTTATGGTTAGTATTGTCTGTGTTCTCTCTGGGAATATAAAGTAGTATAATGTATTGCAGAACAGATTGGCAGTTTCTTAAAATATAAACATCACCTGCTTTATGGATCAAGCCATTCAGCTTCTTAACATTTACTCAGAAGAGTAACATATTCTCTTATATTGTCTTCCAAAATCTTTATGGTTTTATATGAAGAGTTCTTAACATTTGTAATCAATATTTTTTCATGAGAAGAGATAGGCATGTGGCTTATTGTTTTCTTTGTGGATACCCAGTTGTTTGAGCACCTTTTAGTGAACACTTTTCTTTCCCCTTTGGCTACTTTTGGTGCCATCAAAAAACAATGCAGCTGACCTTTGAACAGTGTGAAGGGAAGGGGCACTGACCTTCCGTGCATTAAAAAATTATTGTATCACTTTTGACTCCCCTGAAAGTGAATATTAATAGCTCACTGTTTACTGGAGGAAGCCTT